TACCCAAAGAAAGGAGGATGACAATTTCTATGTTACTATGAAACTTGGACCTCCTACAGAGATGATGTTAGTCTCCTTACGCAGTTTCATCAGCATCATCTATGAGTCAAATTTTAGATTTAAATGGCAAAACAGGCTCATCAATAATTAGGCCTTGGAACACATCCAGACTAACAGCATAAAATAAATGCTTGTTACAAAACAACTCTACAGGGCTGCATTTACAAGTATGCATGTACAAGTCCTGTACAACAGGGCAAAGGAAATGCTTTAATGTCAATGTACAACAAAACCTTAAGTGATACAATAAAGCTGTAAGAAGAGAAACAGAGCCCCTCCCCAAAAAATATACACACAAAGCAAAACAAAAATAGCATAGAGCCACACAATTTAGACTTAAAGGGGATTTGCTGTTCATGTGGCCCAACCAACCTCACTTCGCAGATGAGAAAACTAAATCCCAGAAAAGTTGTTCAAGATGCCCTAGACTGGATTCTGAGCCCAATGTCTCTACTGACCCTCATGAGACTCGCTTTCTCTCAAAATACAAGGGGAAAAAATTTTGCCATTCTTATTGTTGGCTGACTCATCAAAGAATCCAAAAATATTGGGAATCTTTCTTTTCTTTACTCTCCAAGACTAAAAGCTAAACAAACTAATGTTCCAACAGATCCCCAGAAAAACCAAAATTCTCAAAAATGAACCTGTACAGAGCCACTATAATGTCACTGCAGAATGGCACAGCAGGTCATACTCAAACCTTTTCACATACATCACCCCCAAGAACCACAGCTCACAAGAGACAGGAGTCTGAACTCCCTATCAGATCAGTGGGATTGTGCCAGACTCAGGAGAGCCTCAGACAGAAAGCAAAGCAAACTCTGCAATATTCAAAAGAAAGGGAAATTTGCTATAAGCCTCGGGGACTCTTTCCCAGACGGTTTCACAGTGCTGAGAAAGGAAAGATTCTGCAGTCATTACAGCTATGAACTCAATTTCACCATTCTTAAAGGTCGTCAGCTATGTTTAGATTGTTTTCCCAACAAACCAAAGGAAAAATGTCATTCAGGGATCAGAATGAGGAAAAGCTGGGAAGAGGGCGTGCCAGGAAAGCAGCATCCCACTGAGCCGAATGATGGACTATGCAAGATCCTGCCTGCCTTCCGGTAGCATCTATATCCTAAGGCTGCACGACGCACACCCTACTCGAACTTTTGTCAGGTTATCCTTAGGGTTTTGTTGCTAAAGTTGAGTTTTCTGGCTTTTTCTTTTTATACTGAAAGTCTTTCTAGTGTGGTATGATTGCTGAGACGTTCAGGAGGAAAAACAAATGCTAAACCAAAGAGGAAGCACAGGAAAAGATTAAACCAGTAAGTTAGGTTAAAAGACTTTTCCATATTAAGAAGAAAGTATGCCAAATGAGTTGCTTTAATTCCTAGTGTGAGAAAATCAGATTGGTTCCCTTTGTTGGCCATATAGAAGCCATATATAACATTGTTTCCAAACCAGACAACTTCCCACCACTTATGACAGTTGCTAAAAGTAGGCTAATTACAGACATTAAACAAAACTCTGATTTTTATAAAATCAGAGACTGCCAGAAACTACCAAACTTTTGAACACCCAATCCACATACTAATGACATCACAGACCTAAATGCTTAAGCTTCAAAAGGGAAAGTAAGAAACATCAAGTTCTAGAACACACAAATTCATTTCATTGCAATATAATTCTTTAAACTTCCGTTCAAACAAAATAGATACCTTATAAAAGCCCAACATCATTGGTATTAAAAATTACTAAACAGTTTGTTTCTAAGTGGTAATACAGATTAGTCAAATTACTTTGAAGTAGTCTTGAGATTGATAATTTTTTTGTGTGTGTGTGAGGAAGATCAGCCCTGAGCTAACATCCATGCTAATCCTCCTCTTTTTGCTGAGGAAGACCAGCTCTGAGCTAACATCTATTGCCAATCCTCCTCCTTTTTCTTTTTTCCCCAAAGCCCCAGTAGATAGTTGTATGTCATAGCTGCACATCCTTCTAGCTGCTGTATGTGGGACGCAGCCTCAGCATGGCCGGAGAAGCGATCCGTTTTGTGCGCGCCCGGGATCCGAACCCGGGCTGCCAGTAGCGGAGTGCCTGCACTTAACCGCTAAGCCACAGGTCCAGCCCGAGACTGATAATTTTAAAAGACCCCCAAGAACATTCTACCACTTTAATAGCCAAATAAACTTATAGCAATGAATCAGTCACTGAAAAAAACACATATTGACTGATTCATGTTTATCTGTAAAACTCCAACAATATCTGCCCTACCCACTGCACAAGATGGTTGAAAATGAAAACCAAAATGAAAGTACGTGAAAGTACTCGATACACACTTAAATTGTAACATACCGTTAAGTCAGGAACTAGGAGAGTTTTCACAAAGAATAGTTAAATATGAGTAATGCTGTAACTTGGTGTAGTCAATGAGGAGCAGACTAGGCTCCATTAACTTGGAGTCTAATCTTAGTTCAACCACTGAGTACTAGTAACCTCATGGTCATACGAGGCACTAATGCCCCCTGAGCCCCATTTTATTTGGAAAGTAATGGAATTGGACTACAGGAGATCTGAAGTCCCTTCGGGCTCTGTTACTTTGATTAGTAATGTTTCACACCTAAATTACTGCTATTATAAATAAGTAAGTTTCAGGGCCGGCCCGTTGCTTAGCGGTTAAGTGCGCGCGCTCCACTGTTGGCGCCCCGGGATTCGGATCCCGGGCCTGCCCCGACACACCGCTTCTCCCGCCATGCTGAGGCCGCGTCCCACGTACAGCAACTAGAAGGATGTGCATCTATGACGTACAACTATCTACTGGGGCTTTGGGGGAAAAAATAAATAAAATTTTTAAAAAAATTTGAAAAAAAAATAGATAAGTTTCACATTACTAAATATTCTCATTATGTGCCACCATGTCACCAGTGGATACCCCACTTTTCCCAATTCAGCAGATATAGCAGTGAATGCCACCACCTTTACAGACCTATGCAGACTTATGAGATGTTCAAAGCACTATTATATATTTCTTCAAAGGATGAGTCAAAGATTAAATGAGATGAGGACACATTTTATCCCGTATTTATCAGACCAGTGAACTGAAGCCGAGATTAAGTCATCTACCAACAACTCACAGCTCATAAAAGCTGGAAGCAGAAAGCAGGTCCAGGGCTCTTCTCAATTAGGGATAACTGAGCATCTGAAATGGAAAGGTAACAGAGCTAATCCTCTAATGTCCAATCTGCTGTGGTAGAAAGGAAGGCTGTTACTCATTCAACACATTTGCTAAACCACTAGGCACTGTTCCTTTTGGCTGCCAGGGATACAGTAACGAACAAAACAAAAATCCCCGGCCTCACTGAGCTTACACTGTGGTCGGGAAAGATCGACAAAGTAAATGAGTAAAATATAGGGAATATTATAGTGATAAGTACTATGGAAAAAAATGAAGCATGGAAAGGAGATAAGACAGCATGCATTTGGTGATTTGCAATTTTCTTTTAAGCCTGCCTGATGCCACTTAAAAAACCACAACAATGATGCATCTAAAGTAGTTTTCCTAAGCGTTTTCCCAAACAAGGAATACTTTGGACACAGGAAAGACTCTGGCCTGCTGATCCCAATTTGCTATTGATTGCTCAATCCTCTGAACTGCCAGCTATGAGCTGTCTGTCATACTGGCAATCTAAATTCCATACTAACAAAGACTTCCCCAGCCCCACTTTTAAATCCACAAAGAAAGAATGTAAACGGATATACAAAAGACAGCCAAGAGAAGTTCCAAGAGCACTTGAACTGCTTCTGAGTTAGCAAAAATGTCTCCTAATGAAAATGGAGTTTGTGTGCCTGAGTTCTGCTGGGACAAAGCACTAAGAATACACTACACATCATTTTGCTTTTTCTGACCTGTCAATTCTAGTGACATTCTCTACTATTAGTCTATATTTAACCAGCTTACTGGGCAGTTTCTCCAGCTTTTAGCATTTTTTTTCCTCTTATTAAAAGAGTAACGCAGTTTGCAAGAAAGTTGCTATAAGATAACCCCCCGCAAGAGCTGATACACTTGGTTAAGCACTATCTTATCAAAATTTAACCTGGTTAGTTGAGCTGGCAAATCAGGTTAAGCTCTGTTTTACGTTAGTTTTAAAATACTCTCCGAGTGGCTAAAATCTCATGGTCCTCAAGTTGGAACTGCAGCCTGAGAATTACAGTAAGTCTTGTAAAATTCGCTACAGCTTACTTTAATGTGTGTCTATAACACACAACCCTTTAAACCGAGTTCCCACACGGGAGTGGAAAAGTCACGTTTGACAAGAAGAACTTCGGCCTTGGGGGTCAGATCGCCTATCCCAGGAAGATCCAATAGGGTTGTCTCTCTGCCCACACCCGGGGAGGACGTGTTTGTTCGGCTGGTCCGCGGGAGGGGCGCTCCCGGCCCGGTTCGCGGCGCGGGGCCCGGCCCCACCGCGCGGTGATTTGGAGGCGAGCGGACGGGAAACTTCAGCCGGGATCGGCGGGCTGGGCCCCGGCGAGGGGGCGGCTCTTCCCGGGCGCCGCCCCGCCCTGCTCGCGGGTGCGGGTCCCGGGCCGGCCTACGACGGCGTCTGGGGGCCTCCGGGGCTCGGAGACCCGGGTGAGCGCCGGGCCACGGTGGCAACCGGAGGAGAGAGGGCGGGGGCGTTGCGGCCCAGGTCCGGGGTCAACTCCAGGGGCCGGGGGTCCCGTGGGGGGCACGGGCCCAGCCCGGCGGCGGCCGAAGCCACAGGGGCTGTCCTGGGGGGCGGCGGCGCCGGCGAGTGGGGCCCGGCCGAGGTGTCTGTGGGGAGGGACACCGCGCTGAGCGGCGACCAGGGGGACCCCGGCGGCTGGGGGGTGGGGACCAGCGGCTCCCGGGACACGCCCGGCCCGCCCCGCCCCTGGGCTCCGGGCAGCGCGGCCCCGCCCGGCCCCCTCCTCACCTGATGTACGGGCTGGCCGCCGCCAGGATGTTTTTCTGCACCGGGATCTCCTCCCCGTCGAGGACCAGGTGCGCGTCGCAGAAGCGGGACTCCTCGCGGAAAGAGCTGAGCGCCCGCAGCAGGCGCGCGGCGTGCTGAGGGTCGGACACGGCGCTGCCCTCGGCCATCGCGGCGCCCGCTTGTCAGCCGGACGCTCCGGTTCTCGACGCCGCTCTGCAGGACCCCTCGAGCCGCCCGCGGCCGATGCGCGCCCCGTCCGCACAGCCCGCGCGCGCGCCCGTCTGGCACGGCTCTCCGCGCTCCGAGAACCAGCGGGAGCCCCCGGAACGCGCCTGCGCCATCCGCGGCTCGCGGGGCGGGCGCCTTTAAGGAGCCGCGGCATTGCGTCATTTCTCCGCGACGCCCCCGCGACCCCGCTCCCGCCCTCTCGTCCGCCGTCGCCGGAGGCGGCCAATCAGACGCCTCGTTCCTCCGCCGACCAGGTGGTCCTGCCCCGGCGCAGCGGATCGGCATCCACGGCTGAGAGGGATCGCAGCGGTGATGCAGGGGTGTGCGGGGGTCTGGGACTCTGTGGTTAAGCCCGTGGCTTCTAGAGCCCCGAGTTTCGGCTCTTGCACTCACTAGCTATGTGACCATGGGTAAGATGCCCATCGTCAATTTCTGCATCTGCAGAGTGAAGATGATGACTTCTTAGGGTTGTTGTAGACTCCTGTGAGATAGCGCGTGTAAGCAGGGGCTCGGTGGGGCTTGAGAAGAGGCGCTTCCTAGATGAGAACACAGAGACCTGAGAAAACAAGACCTGAGAAACCAAAAGAGCGTTTTGGTTGCGGGCTAGGGAGATGTCTCAGATGAAGGTGGAGAAGGAAACAGCAGGCCTTCCATTTTGCAGGGCCTTCCTGGCTATGTGGTAGGAAGGTTGGTCTGAATCCTGTAGGTATTAGGAACCATGAAAAGGTTTGAAGCAGGGGGTTTTACAAAGATCACTAAGCCGCTGCGTGGAGAATGAGGTGGGGGTAGGGGTGCTAAAGGCAGAGAGATGCTCAGATACTGCAGTACTTGAGGGAAGGGAATGGTGGCCTGGATGGAAGGGTGATGATGGAGGTGGACAAAAATGGATGGCATTAAAAGAACAGACAAAATTATGAGGGAAAGGGAAAACAGGAGAGTGTTCTGGGTTGAGTGAGTAACTGCATGGATGTTGGTACCTTTCAGAGAGAGAGAGGAAATGCTGAAGGGGTGGAAGGTAGAGGCCAGATGTTCAGAGGCAACCATGCTCCCAACCCAGTGCTACTCTGCGTCACCGTGGCCTGCAGGGCAAGCCCCCTGCTGTCTGAGGTTTCCCGAGAGGTTGCTATGGGCACATGGGAATGTGGAAAGTATCATTTTGTACCAATATTAGGTGCTCAATAAACTTCTAAAGAATTAGCAATTTTATGAGGACCGAGGACCAGAAGGATATGGTCGGCATTCCAGATAAGGCAGGATGGGGTTTCCACTGGATCAGCTCAGTCTTTTCCTTCAGCCAGCTCAAAGCCTCCAAAAAAGTCTTGGGTCTTGCCCCTGCACCAGCCAAGGCTTTGTAGTCACTGGCAGGAATCAGAGTATATAACTCTGGCAGAGCCACTGGCAGAAGAATAGATGGGGAGAAGCATGTCACTAGTGGAAGGTCCAGACATTTCCAGTTCCTTCTTCAAAAGCAGCTCAGTATTTATGGGTGAAATGGTAAAAATGTCTAGGATTGGCTTCAAAACAAAACAAAGGGTTAGAGGGAAGCAGTACAGATGAATCAAAGGTGGCTATGAGTTACTGTCAGAGCCAGGTTATGGGTACATGGAGATTCATTGTAGTAGTCTCTATTTTCTTGTGTATGTTGTAAAATGTCATAATAAGTGAAAAACAAGCAGCTGGAGCTTATCTTCTCCATGATACCGGCCCAGTATCCCTGGGAGCAGTGGACACGCCTTTCTCCAAGTTGTTGCTGTACTTTGAATGTTGCTCTGGCGGGAAACTTATTGTAATGGGTTTATTTATCCATCTCCCCTGCCAGTTTTTATATTTTAGTGTGTTTTGATTTGCGGGTGCCAAGCACAGTGCCTGGCCCTAGTAGTGCTCGGTGAATGTTGGATGGATGGAGGGATTAAAAATACTGTGAATACCAGGCTCTTAATAAATGTTTTCTGAATTGTATTCTCTGTTTTCAGTTTGTGTTTTTCTTCTTTCTTAACTGGGTTGTTGTTGGGGTCAAAAATCATATATATGACAAAGAGATTTCTCTACACAATGTAGATATTCGATAAATACTTGTTGATTAATTGCCTGGAATGCTGGTCTATTCTTCAAATATCAGAGGTTCCAAAACAAAACAAAGAGCTCAAATAACAGAATCACCCTCAGGTAACCAGTTATCCCAGAATGGGCGGGTTGCCTTAGTTGAAGTAACTGGAGGTGAGTGGGGATTAGTCAGGCAGGCTCTTCCTGGTAGAGGTGAACCTTCTCTGGTGTTTTGACAGAAGGAGGGAATGGGAAGACCTGGGCAGAGAGTTGTAGACAGACCAGCATCCCTCAGGGGAAAGGCAACTGCTGAGTTGAGAGGGGCCCCTGTGCAACAGGCAGCTAGTCAGCAGAAGACCTTGTATATGCTTTCAATCCCACCCCCACTGTTTGCAGTATCCCCACCAGCCCGCCTGCCTGAATAACTCATATTCATCCTTCAAAACCCAGCTCAAACATGCCCTTCAGGGAACCTGCAACCTACTTCTCAGGGCAGAGTCCCTGTGCTATGCCATGTTCTTGATTTCTGTGCTGCACTTACCTCACTGTGCTGTAATTAACTGGTTTATAAGTTGGTTTGCGAGCTCCTCCAGGTAGGAACTGCTTTATATTCACTCATGTTCTGAGGGACTTGCACAGTGCCTAGTGCTTAGTAGTTGCCCCCAAATGCTTTTACAGAAGCAGTTAGAGGTAGCAAGTGGGGTAAATGAGCACAGTAGGCAGGATGTAACACAACAGGGGCAGGTGGGATTACAGGGAGCTGAAAAACGCGCGCCTGTCTCAGGTGGGAGGCTGCCCCTCAGCTCCAGCTGATTGCTCCGTGGGATAAGGGCCCAGTGGTGCCAAATCCAACGATTTTTCTGGAGATCTGAAAATTCAGATTCATGTGTTGTATGTCCCAGTTTTTCAACATTAGCCACTAATTCCATTTGGGAAAAAAGGATGCAGCATGTGTCTGTAGCCAGGATCTAGCTTTAATTCATCTCCAGAAATAATCAGAAAACCATCTCACTTTACTGAGAAGGGAGTTAACAAAAGGATGCTAGGTTTTCAATAAAAATTGTTGAGTTGAATTCAGGTGCCCTGAGAAAACTCATCATGGTGCTGTAGGGAAGGCAGAGGGCCCGTGGGTGGAAGGAAGGATTTGTGGGGCAGAACCTACCCTCCCATCTGCAGCAGGAGCCATTCCTGGTTGCGTCATGGACTGTTTTGCAGCCTTTCTTGATATTGCTCAAACTGAGCCGCCCTTGATATTGTTTATGGCCATCAGAATGGTGTATTTAGTGCTATTGCTTCCCCACATTCCGTAGATATCAGAAATCAGCTGTTGTGAAACGTAATCTAACAGATCTGATGGTGTCCCAGCAGTTTCAGTCTCTCGGGACTGTAACTGACCCCTTCTGGGAGAGAGGCTAAACAACCCCCAGAGAGAGGATTTTTTTTTTTTTTTTTTGGTCTAAAGACTAAAAAGTGTGTTCACAAGGTATTAACAGTAGTCATTCATTCAACAAATATTTATGAAGCACCTGTTGCCTGATACATGTTGCAGATAAATGATAGTGAAAAGAGATGGGAGTATAGAGGCTTTTTACTTTGTGCTTTTCTGATCATGTATCATTTTTACAATCAGAAAAAACAAGAAAGTGATTTCCATTTGCAAAAAGAAAAACAACTTTGTTTTGAAAAACGAGTCCTCAAAGAAGAGAAGAACCACCTTGGGTCTTGGGGGTTTATTTCTAAGTAAATGTTAGAAGAATGAGAGTCCAGTAAAAGAATTAATACAAAGAAAAAAATTAATAGGTTGAAAGCTCTTTAGAAAAACATCAAATCTAGTGTATTCATCCTATTGAAGAGAAAACTGAAGTAAGATGAGTGAAGGACTCAGTCAAGGTCATACATGTGACCAAGTCGGGGCAGAACAAATGGGCCCAGGGCTTCTGCCTTCCAGCCCTGTAAGCTTTTCTATTACACCAAGTTGACTCTTTGTAAACATTAATTTGGTTGAGACAGTCTCTTCTGATTCATTTTAAGGCGGGCTTCAACTATTTTATTGGGTAAATCTGTCATTTGTCCAAATCTATATATAGCTCCTTTCTTTCCGAAAAATCTAAGCTCTTCCAAATTGCTGAGTCAGAGAACATCTCAGTATTTATAACTCTTGAGAGCTGATTCTCTATACTTACACAATATTCAGAGAAGTATCTCAGAAACCCGTGAACTAATTAAGTAGTAAGGGAGGTAGTGACCGTTTCTGTCCAAATCCACACTATTCCCCAGCACCCAGCACAGTGCCTGACACAATAAACATTTGCTGAATGAAGATATGGTAATAGGTGGAGAGAACTGAGACTTGTTTCTATCCATAAGGGATTCAGATATTGTTTTCCATAATTTCCCATTGAACTCCAAGCTGGTATATCCAACAACCTGCTTGACATCTCCAGTTGAATATCTAACAGACGTCTGCAGCTTAACATGTCAGAAAATAAGCTCCTGATTTCACCCCTTAAACCTCATTATCCCCCAAATAATAGCAGCATCATTCATTCACCCAAGGATAGAAACTTAGGGACGTTCTTGATCTCCGTCTCTCACACCCTTCATCAATTCACCAGCAAACACCACAGCTCCTCCTGCAAACTGTCTCCTGAATTCAGCCTCATCTCACAACCTCCACCAGTACCACCCGATCCAGCCACCAATCAACTCCCCCTGGACTCCTGCAATAGCATCCTAGCTTGCCCCCTATAGTTCTTTCTCACCATGAATTAGTCAATCAAGTTGCTTCCCATCCATGGCCTACAAAGCCCTGTGTGATCTGGCCTTGTGCTTCCTCTGCAACCTCCTTTCCTACCACTCCCTTCTCCCTCAGTGTGCCTACGCAAACATGCCTTCTTGCTCTTCCTTGAACAGGCCTCGCCTGTGCCCACCTCAAGGGCCTTTGCACTGATTTCTCAGCCTGGATGTCTCTTTCCTCATAGTCTCAAACCTTGCTCTTTCATTCTACTTAGGTCAGAGCTCAAATATCAACTCCTCAGAAAGGCCTTCACTTACCCTTTTGT